CCCACAAAAAACAATAACATACAACATTAGGAGGCTGGGATACCATGGCTTCATCAGTTGCCACTGATCTGATACAGAAAAGGGGCAAGCTTGGTGAGCGCATGAACTGGCTTTTTGTAAATCTGCTGAAGCCAGAGATGATTCTCCGAACACAATTTTCTACAAATAGAAACAGACTGACGAGTACAGAGAGCTGGTGGGCTGTGCTCTTTGTCGCAGATCTGAACCAAAAGATCCAGCGGTGAGAAAACGCTACAAGAAAGAAATACGAGTGAGCAAAGCCAAGAAGCAAGACCTCTCAGGACTGTGCAAGAAACGGGTTATCCCTGAAGAATTTCGCTACTTGTACGGTTCGATCCCGACTTCTGAGGGTATACAGGATACCCTCCCTGAACCTGACATTATGAACTCAGATCCTGAAAACTTTGTTTAGTTATTTGGATCTCTTGATTTTTTTTGTTTGTAAAACGCGTTGTCGGCCACAGGTTATGGTACACTCTTGATTGAAATCATGTACTAAAATCCTTTATCCGTACCATGTCTCATTATTTTTTAATCTATGTGGGTTTTATTTTTTTGAAAATATGTGCAGAGTGCACACTATTCTATAATTTTATCTTTATTTTAAACTGAGCGTCCTGAATCATAGACCAGTAATGTCTGAAAAGACACATTGTTTTGGCGTTGCAATGCTTTTTTTTAAAGGCACCACAATCTGTATTTTTCTGTGTTGCAGATTTGTGAGAGGTTTATTACTTCTTTAGCTCAGTTTGATGTGAATGTTTAGTGGGTGTGTTAGGTCTTCTTGAATGCTTTTAATTCTTTCAAGCTCACACCTCCCCCCCCCCCCACACACACAAAACAAATCTCTCCTCCCAGCATGTCCCAATCTGAAACCTTTCCATCCTTTTATCTCTTCACTTCTTCATTTCTTCATCTTTTTATATCTCCATCCTTTTATCTTTTTATCTGTTTATCTCTTCATATCTGTATCCCTTCATCCTTTTATCTTTTCATCTGTTTATCTCTACATACCTGCATCCCTTCAACTTTTTTATCCCCTCATTCGTTGATCTCTTCATCTTTTTATCTCTTTTCACCCCCCCCCCCCAGGGCGGTCGCTACACCTTAGACATCGACAGCTACGAGATGATCTTCTCAAACTTTCTGATCCCTTTTTTATCCCTTCATCTGTTTATCTCTTCATCCTTTTATCCCTTCATCTATTTATTTTTTCCTCTTTTTATCTACTCTTCGTCTTTTCATCCCTCAGGGCGGTCGCTACACCTTAGACATCGACAGCTACGAGATGGTCTTCTCCAACTTTCTGATCGGCCGCACGCCGTTCGGGCCCGGTCGCCACATCTTTGGTTGCTGGGAACACAACATCGCTCACTTCGAGCTCATCATGCCAGCGACAGAGGAGGAAGCAAGACAGTCGCCACGGAGCGGGGAGAAGAAGGGGGTGGAGGGAGATAAATCCAGCATTCCCTGGCAGAAGCCGAGGCCAAGGACGAGGAAGGTGTGAGGAGTTGTTTGAGGTGGTGAAGTGGTGATGAGGAGGTGGTGAGGTGGAGTGGGGGGGGGGGCGGTGAGGTGATGATGGTTATTCAGTTTGAATTGAATAGAGGCGAATAGCGATGATGATGATGATGATGATGATGATGATGATGATGATGAAGATGATGATGATGATGATGAGGATGATAATGGTGGTAATGATGGTGATGATGATTAAGATGTTCCTTTTTCATCATGCTCCGATCCTGAAGAAACCCAAAAGGGTGAAATGCTTGTGTCGAACATAATTGATCATGTCATAATATTCAGAAACACTCAAACTTCCATCAACTTTTTTTCTAATCATACTGAAAACGACGACGATGACGACGACGACGATGATGATGATGATGATGATGATGATGATGATGATGATGATGATGATGATGATGATGATGATGATGATGGAAAGGCAACTGCGTACCTCACAATGTTTCTTGAAATCTTGTTTTGTTTTCTCTGATTTTGTCAAGTTTTGTCACATTCTCGTGGGCATTTATAACGTACTTATATTCCTAGACGGTAGTTTACGTCCATGAAAGAAAACAATGTGTCTCTCTCTCTCTCTGTGTGTGTGTGTGTGTGTGTGTGTGTGTGTGTGTGTGTGAGAGAGAGAGAGAGAGTGCCTGAGTGTTTAAGTATTTGTGTTTACGCGCGCATGAGTATGAAACTCTTGTATCGCATGTTTCAAAAATCGTAAGAACACCAATGTTGGTTTGGTTGTGAAAGCGGCCAGCTGTATGCTCTATATCGATTCGGACATATTTACCCAAATGTATATTATTATTTTTTATTTGTTTGTCTCTTTTCTTTTTTCTTTCATATAACAAACCAGCTGTAAACAGACAGTAGATTCACAAACGTGATTGCCCAAGGCTGTAGGTATCTTGCACTGAGGGTTTTATTCATGTTTGTTTAGTGTCTTCTGGGGAGAGAGATGGAAAAAAAAACATAACAAAAAAAACAAACCCCAAAGAACAAATCAACTCAGAATAAAAGCTTAATAAAGTGTACATGTATTATCTTACGACACCCGAGTTGAGTGATTATTTCGGCTGCATTGAAATGATAATTATGTTTAATGATAATGATTATTTTTAAAACAATAAACAAATAAATATATTCATAAATAAATAAATAAGTAAATAAATAAATACATGAATAAATCAATTTAAACATTTAAATCGCGGGTGCTCTGGTGGGGTTTGGTCCTTCTTTCTTATCAAATATCTATCGTCCTGATCTCTCCTCTTTACTTTTTGTGTTTGTTACTCTCTTGTAACACCTCTAATCTTCGGCACTTATATGACTTTATTGTGTTGCAAGTGCCGTAAGCCACCTACTAAGACTAAAAACTTTATCTATTTATTTGGGAGAGGGGGGGGGGGGATGCCAAAAAGTAACAAATCATAGAATTCTTTTGAAAACCAAAACATTACTAATTATGTTTTTTACATTGTATTCAAGATAGATGGGATTAAAAAATTTTTCTCCAAAATTTCGATGTTTTTTACATCTCCATCGATACAATTTAGACCATTTAGGAAGCGGGCTTCCGACCCTGCCTGACAGGGTCAACCCGGGCTGAGAGGGGGGTACAACATCTCAGGGAGAAAGACCGAGATACTCACAAAACATGATCCCTACAAGATCTACAACTATTTGAGGTGGAGTTGTTCATGTTTTGAGGGATGCTTTAGGAAAGTAACTTCAAATAAAAAATATTTTACTCAAATATCAGTAAATGTTTTTTGTTTTGTTTGAGTAAAGAAAAGCACACGGACACAAAATGGTCATGAAGTGCTGCCAAACAGTAAGACAGACGTACAAACAGACAGAGATAACAGTTGGAAAGTACAGAAGTAGATAGATAGAGACAGACAGACAGAAACAACGGAATGAAAGTAAAGAAGTAGCAGATAGAGACAAATAAATAGAAATAACAGAGGGAAAATTAAAAAAAAGTAGATAGAGACAGAGAGAAAAAACAAAGGGAAGGTAAAGAAGTAGATAGTATTAGACAGACAGAAACAACAGAGGGAAAGTACAGAAGTAGATAGAGACAGACAGACAGAAACAACAGAAAGAAAGTAAAAAAGTAGAGACAGATAAACAGAAACAACAGCGGGAAAGTAAAGAAATAGCAGATAGAGACAGACAGAAAAAACTGAGGGAAGGTTATGAAGTAAGACATATCAGAGGCGCCCTCCAACCACCCGTACTCACACATGCCACTCACTATTATGTAGCCGGTGGGATCATCATGTCCAATCTAACATGCTTTAGAAACAAACAGAGTTCGGCCCACAATGTACATAACGGTAGTCCCAAAATAACACACGGCACACACGGTGAACTTACAGGGAGAGAGAGAGAGAGAGAGAGAGAGAGAGAGAGAGAGAGAGAGAGAGAGAGAGAGAGAGAG